TTTCTTACAGGATTATGTGGTAATGAGTCTCTGTCATTCATTTAGGTAAGATTCACAGGCAATAGTGATCTGTAAAAATATAGACTTAAGTGACCTACAAAAATATAGATTTAATACAAATCACAAAGATATCTGAAGATAAACCATTTAAAAATTACAAGAGATACTAACAAAACAGGTATAGACAGTGAGTAAAGGACAAAAATATCTAGCATTGTTACTGTAGCATCACTGTTCAAAGCTTTGTCCTTGCAACTGGACAACATGGATTCAAATCTTGATCCAGCCTCTTACTGAAATGTGACTAGATGAGTCTTTTAGAGCAGAATATGCTGAGGTCTGACATTTGATGGATGGTGGTGCTGGAAATCTTTTTGTGGGCCTATTTATCTCAGTATATCTGCTTCAGTGAAATATCTCTTCATAGTTCTACCAATTTTCTGGGAAAAAAAACTACATATATATGGAGAGAGAGAGAGAAAGAGGGAGAGAGAGATGGAGTCCACAGGCTGGAGTGCAATGGCACATCTCAGCTCACTGCAACCTCAATTTCCGAGGTTCAAGCGATTCTCCTGACTCAGCCTCCCAAATAGCTGGAATTATAAGCACCCGCCACCACACCCAGCTGATTTTTATATTTTTAGTAGAGACGGGGTTTCACCATGTTAGTCAGGCTGGTCTTGAACTCCTGACCTCAGGTGATTCATCTGCCTCAGCCTCTCAAAGTACTGGGATTACAGGTGTGAGCCACTGTGCCCAGCCTAATTTGATTATTTTCCCTATCTGTCCTAGGTTTCCTCACCTCTGAAATGAGAATATCATCAATATTTACTTCAGGGAGCTGACGATTTAGTTGTTACACATAAAGCACTAACAACTGTGATTCTTACTCTAAATGTGATTTATATGAAAGAAAACATATATGCAAAGGTAAATCACTTATTAAAGAGTATGTAGGCCAGGCGTGGTGGCTCACGCCTGTAATCCCAGCACTTCGGTAGCTGTCATGGCAAAAGTTGCACAAATGTCATGTTTTGCTGTAAGATCCTCTGACTCAGAACAGAAATACCAGCCACAGAGGGAAGTTGAAGTGCCTCCAAGGATTCACCAAAAGAAATTATCACCTTTGCATAAATTATAACTAATATCTTGTGGACTCTCTTATTAATTGTATTTTCATTTAGTTCTCCAGGTGCTGGTTAACCTCCACACGCTTGATTTTCAAGCCGCTGATCTTTGATAACTTCCGTATTAAGAGACTTCATTTCACCATTTTGTATGCCAGTACTTTAATTGAACTAAAGACTTACATGGCCGGGCGCGGTGGCTCAAGCCTGTAATCCCAGCACTTTGGGAGGCCAAGGCGGGTGGATCACGAGATCAAGAGATTGAGACCATCCTGGTCAACATGGTGAAACCCCGTCTCTACTAAAAATACAAAAAACTAGCTGGGCATGGTGACACGTGCCTGTAATCCCAGCTACTCAGGAGGCTGAGGCAGGAGAATTGCCTGAACCCAGAAGGCGGAGGTTGCGGGGAGCCAAGATCACACCACTGCACTCCAGCCTGGGTAACAAGAGCAAAGCTCCATCTCAAAAAAAAAAAAAAAAAAAAAAGACTTACAAGAACATTCCATTTTCCTATTTACAGAAAACCTAGTCAGTACCTGCCATCATCTTACATACATTTCATGTCACAAAATTTTATTTTCAAACAACACCCTCCTTTATGTATTCTCTAAGTTTTTCACCAGAGTAACACAGAGAAGAAATGCAGTAAACATATAATTAGGATTAAAATGTATGGAAGGAAAAAACCTTTACAGTAAAAATCATATACAAAAACAAAGTCATTTTACTACTATTGAAAATAAGCTACGGGCAGGCACGGTGGCTCACGGCTGCAATACTAGCACTTTGGGAGGCTGAGGCCAGAGGATTGCTTGAGGCCAAGAGTTCAAAACCAACCTGGCCAACACAGGAAGACCCCACCTCTAAAACGAAAAAAAAAAAAGCTATGAAATATATTACACAATACCATAAACTGAAGATGACATTAACATAACACAGTCTTTGAAAAATAACCTTTAGGCTGGGCGCGGTGGCTCAAGCCTGTAATCCCAGCACTTTGGGAGGCCGAGGCGGGTGGATCACGAGGTCGAGAGATCGAGACCATCCTGGTCAACATGGTGAAACCCCATCTCTACTAAAAATACAAAAAATTAGCTGGGCATGGTGGCGCGTGCCTGTAATCCCAGCTACTCAGGAGGCTGAGGCAGGAGAATTGCTTGAACCCAGGAGGTGGAGGTTGCGGTGAGCCAAGATTGCGCCATTGCACTCCAGCCTGGGTAACAAGAGCGAAACTCTGTCTCAAAAAAACAAAAAAAAAAAAATCGAAAAATAACCTTTAGCTAAAATTGCTTGATCATATTATGTAATAAACTTTTCCACAAATTCATTTTCATTGAACTACTGTAAAAGTATTTTAGGCAATCTAAACAGCATTTCACAAACATTTTCAAGAACGATGTTGTATAATGGGAACTATGGGTTCAGCAGAAAAGGAAAACCAATTACCATTATAAAGAAAATAGAGGTCTTTCCTAACAAATAACTTATAAGTTTCTTTTCTTTTGAGATGGAGTCTCACTCTGTTGCCCAGTTTGGAGTGCAGTGGTGAGATCTCAGCTCACTACAACCTCCATCTCCCAGATTCAAGCGATTCTCCTGCCTCAGCCTCCTGAGTAGCTGGGACTACAGCTACGCACCACCTACCCAGCTAATTTTTTTTTTTTTTTTTTTTTTTTTTTTTTTTGAGACGGAGTTTCACTCTTGTTACCCAGGCTGGAGTACAAAGGCGCAATCTCGGCTCACCGCAACCTCCGCCTCCTGGGTTCAAGCAATTCTCCTGCCTCAGCCTCCTGAGTAGCTGGGGCTGCAGGCACGCACCACCATGCCCAGGTAATTTCTGTATTTTTAGTAGAGATGGGGTTTCATCCTGTTGACCAGGATGGTCTCGATCTCTCGATCTCGTGATCTACCCGCCTCGGCCTCCCAAAGTGCTGGGATTGCAGGCGTGAGCCACCGCGCCCGGCACCCAGCTAATTTTTTTATTTTTAGTAGAGATGGGGTTTTACCATGTTAGCCAGGCTGGTCTTGAGCTCCTGACCTAAGGTGATCCACCTGCCTCAGCCTCCCAAAGTGCTGGGATTACAGGCGTGAGCCACCATGCCTGGCCAGAAATCAGAAGTTTCAAGAGTAAATATTCAGTGTTGCAGTAGTGTTTCCATTTTGTGATTTTTGTCTTGCAATACCATCTACACCTTTGCACTCCCTCTTTTTATTCTGCCTGGCCAAGCTGATAATGCCCATGTTCCCTCCTTTGGCATTAGATGGAAGTTCAAACCATGTGTGGGACCCTCACTCCAACCACACCCTTTTATTAAAGGTTATTACCATAATACCCAAAACAAGTTACTTACCCCTGCTCTCTCAAGCCAATTTAGACCAGTTTGGGAAGTCAACCTTGCTTCTCACAGAAATCCTCACTATGCAATAGACATTTTCCTAAAACTTCATTGTATGACATCATAATTTTCCATATCTAATCCAAACTGTAGGTTGAATTCAATACACTTCCAGTGGAGGGGGGACAAATTAACATTACCAAAAATGCAGGAAGGCTATATTTATGAGACTTCTAGTTTACCTACCAAAATGAAATTTCCATTTTGTATGTTCATTAAGAGGAAACTCATGAATGTTAGTTGTATCAAATTATGTCAACAAGCATAGCATTCTAAGAATAGTGTAATTTTTGTTATTCTGCACTATTTATAATTTCATATTTTTCATACACTTTTTTTTTTTTGAGACAGGGTCTCGCGGCTCTGTCACCCAGGCTGGAGTGCAGTGGTGTGATCTTGGCTTATTGCAACCTCTGCCTCTTGGGCTCAAGTGATCCACCTGCCTCAGTCCCCTGAGGAGCTGGGACTACAGGTGTGAGCTGTCTGGCTAATTTTTCTATTTTTTTTTCCGAGATGGGGTTTTGCCATGTTGCCCAGGCGGTTCGAACTCTTGGACTCAAGTGACTCACCTGCCTCTCAAAGTGCTAGGATTACAGCCATGAGCCACCACGCCTGGCCCATAACTTTCTATATTTGTATTTTCACTTCATGTAATTAAAGATGTATACCATGGTTATTTGGCACATAAGCATGTAAAAATGTAATACGGTATATATTCACCTACATTGTGGCAGCTTTCAGAGTGTAAAAATGGCACTTATAAAGATTTTTTTTTTTTTTTTTTTTTTTTGAGACAGAGTCTTGCTCTGTCGCCAAGCTGGAGTGCAGTGGCGCAATCTCAGCTCACTGCAACCTCCAACTCCTGAGTTCAAACGATTCTCCTGCCTCAGCCTCCCAAAGGCGACTGCCACCGTGCCAAGCTAATTTTTATATTTTTAGTAGAGACAGGGTTTCACCATGTTGGCCGGGATGGTCTCTATCTCCTGACCTCGTGATCCACCTGCCTTGGCCTCCCAAAGTGCTGGGATTACAGGTATGAGCCACTGCGCCCAGCTGAAAGTTGCACTTTCTATGGGATTTTCATTATATCCATATAAATATGCTAAGACAGAGTGTAGAGAATAATAATTCAGGTGCAGAGTATGATTACAGTTTCCCAAAATTGTATGTTATTTGATTCCACCTTGTTCAAGCTCCCCACGCTAGTAGCTGTTATCTCTTCAATTTCAAAAATAAGCCTATTTTTCATCTATCTCTGCTATAAAACAGCTATTGCCATTCAATAGAGAAGGTGGCAAACATTTCCCCTGCACTATTCCTATTATATAATCAGTCATTAATAACCTATTACTCTCCTCCCATAAAAATTCCAGTGTCCTGAGGTCTTGGCCTGCTCAATGCATGGCTGGTAGAGCCTTTCTTTCCTAAAACCCACAGTGTCTTTCTCTCAGAAGGGCAACCTGAATACAATCAGTATGATGACTGATATCATAGTTTTACCTTATTTTCTGCCCCTAAACCATGGTCTCTCAGTTGAAAGAATATTTAATTTTATAATGCAGAGTTCTCCTTCTTCAATCAACTTGGATAAATATAATCCTCATGTAATGAAGTAGGCCCTTCCATACCATAGTTCTTTCCCAGATGGGCACCATGAAAGGTGTTCAGGTTGAAAGTCACAAACGGTAGCCTTTTTGAGAAACCTCAAACAATAGAATGAAATATTTTATAATCTGAAGGTAAGTAGCCATTTCCAAATGTCCTTCAACCTTTGAAATATATAGTCATAAGTTTTACTATATTGGGATGTGTAATTGACATGCAGTTTGTCATATTAAAAGTGAATCAAAGAACTAGAGACTGAGTCACTCTTCGTATGAATCCTCACCTACAGTTACAGTCTTCGAGTAAGAGCTTCAGGATGCACATTACATTAGTGTGGTTCCATAAAGAATGTAGATTTTAATGCCTAGAAAGCTGTAAGGCCTGAATAAAGCCCCTGCCACATACAGTACATTTATATAATTGCTCATTATTATGGACCCTTGGATGTCTATTAATACTTGAACTCATGAACAGTTTGCCACAGTCATTGCATTTTCAAGGATTCTCTCAGGAATAAATTCTCTGATGTTGTCAAAGGAATGAATTCTGACTGCAGAATTTGCCACCTTCATTTGTAAGGTTTCTCTCCACTCTGAATTCTGTGATGACTTGCAAGGTGTGAACTCTGACTTTAGAACTTTACACAAGTGACATTTATAAGGATTTCCTCCAGTATGGATTGCCTGATGGGTAGTTAGGCCTGAACGGACACTAAAGGCTTTCCTACATAATTACACTCATATGGTTTCTCTCTGGTATGAACTCTCTGATGCCTTGCAAGTTTTGAAGTTTGACTAAAGGCTCTGCCACATTCATTACACTTGTAAGGTTTATCTCCAGTATGAATTCTTCGATGTCTTGCAAGGTGTGAATTCTGAGTGAAGACCTTGCCACACTCATTGCATTTGTAAGGTTTTTCTCCAGTATGGACTGCCTGATGGGTAGTTAGGCCTGAACGGACACTAAAAGCTTTGCCACACTGATTACACACATATGGTTTCTCTCCAGTATGAACTCTCTGATGCCTTGCAAGTTTTGAAGTTTGACGAAAGGCTTTGCCACATTCATTACACTTGTAAGGTTTCTCTCCAGTATGAATTCCCCGATGTCTTACAAGGTGTGAATTCTGACTGAAGACCTTGCCACATTCATTACATTTGTAAGGTTTTTCTCCAGTATAGATGACCTGATGGGTAGTTAGGTTTGAATGTTCACTAAAGGCTTTGCCACACTCATTATACTTGTAAGTTTTCTGTCCAGTATGAATTCGCCGATGCCTTGCAAGGTATGAGTTATGCCTAAAGACCTTGCCACACTCATTACACTTGTAAGGTTTCTCTCCAGTATGAATTCCCCGATGTCTTGCAAGGTGTGAATTCTGTGTGAAGACCTTGCCACACTCATTACATTTGTAAGGTTTTTCTCCAGTATGGATTGCCTGATGGGTAGTTAGGCTTGAGTACACACTGAAGGCTTTGCCACACTCATTACACATATAAGGTTTCACTCCAGTATGAATTCTTTCATGATTTGCAAGGTGTGAATTTTGAGTGAAGACCTTGCCACATTTACTACATTTGTAAGGTTTTTCCCCAGTATGGATGACCTGATGAGTAGTTAGGTTTGAATGTGCTCTAAAGGCTTTGCCACACTCATTACACTTGTAAGGTTTCTCTCCAGTATGAATTAGCTGATGCCTTGCAAGGTGTGAATTACGCCTAAAGACCTTGCCACATTCATGACATTTGTAAGGCTTTTCTCCAGTGTGAATTACTAGATGAATAGCTAGGCTTGAACGAACACCAAAGGCTTTGCCACACTCATTACACTTGTAAGGTTTCTCTCCAGTGTGAATTCTCCAGTGATTTATAAGGTGTGAATTTTGAGTGAAGACCTTGCCACATTCATTGCATTTGTAAGGTTTTTCTCCACTGTGGGTTGCCTGATGGATACTCAGGCTTGAACGAGCTCTAAAGGCTTTCCCACACTCATTACACTTGTAAGGTTTCTCTCCAGTATGAATTCCTCGATGTCTTGCAAGGTGTGAATTCTGAGTGAAAACCTTGCCACATTCGTTACATTTATAAGGTTTCTCTCCAGTGTGAATTTTCTGATGTTGTGAGAGTTGTGAATTTCGACTGAAGACCTTACCACACTCATTACATTTGTAACGTTTTTCTCCAGTATGGATTACCTGATGGGTAGTTAGGTTTGAACGTGTTCTAAAGGCTTTGCCACACTCATAACATTTGTGAGGTTTCTCTTTAGTATGACTTCTCTGGTGACTTGCAAGGTGTGAATTTTGAGGGAAGACCATGCCACATACATTAGATTTGTAAGGCTTTTCCCAATTGTTTGCTTTTTGTCCCTGTGTAAGTAACATAGAGATAAAGTCTTCGAAATATTTCTTAGAAATGTAGGTTTTGACATTATAAGGCATTTGTTGAGGTGGTGAAACTAAGGAACTATTATTGAAAGACTTCTCTACCTGATTATATTCATAAATTTTCCCTTCATATTGAAACAGCTGCAGTTCAGGCAGATATGACTGAAAGCTTAATCCAAGCTGATTTTTAATAAGCTTGTTTCTTGCATCTCTTTTATCATGTTCATCTCTTCCACGAGTGAGATTATCTTTCTGTGTCATAAGCCCTCCTTTGTAATTTCCTTCCACATCTCTGCATTGATACTCAAGGTCATGAATGTTTTTCTGGACTTCCCTGAAGAAACAGCCTTCCATGTCATGGCTTTCATGTCTTTCCAACATCACTGTTTGGAATGCTTCTCCTGTATTGCTCTTCCATTTGTGTGGTAAATCTTTCATTACAAATTCAGAAGACAGAGCTACAAGATATAAAGATCCATAGGTTTCCAACTAATTGTAGTAGGTAAATAAGTATTTTACACTAAAAAACAGTATTATACCAAAAGGAATTCTTACATTGAACAGATTTATGAAACTTCAATACAATAATATTCAGTTTTTAGGAACAAAAAAGGAGGAGGATTGTTTAATAAAGAAAAGTTGATTCCATGTAATTCAAATTAATAGTATAGAAGCCTAGTTCTTAACCAACAATACTGTAGCCAGCAAAGCGATCCTCAGTAATAAAGGAGAGAACGTCTTTCCCAGACAAACAAAGCTAAGGGAATTTACCACGATCAGACCTCTTTTACAAGAAATGATAAAGGGAATTTTTCAAATCCAAAGATGACACAATGTAACTCTTACACTAATATTAACATCATAATCATGGCGTGCAAACCATTCATATATTTACTAAGAGGGCTAAAAGATAAAACTATCAAAAATAAGCACAACAATTTTTTTTCACCGCCACCCCCTAAGCACAACAATTTTAAGAGATAGGCAGTACACAACATAAATTGCAACATAAAAAATTCAAAATGCAGAATGAGAAGGGAATGAATATATACAGAGGGTTTTGTTTTGTTTTGCTTTTTGTAATCAAAGATAAGTTGAAATTGGTTTCAGATAAATTGTTAACACCTATAGGAGGCTTTTTAGTAAGTCTTATTTTATGGTCACCATAAAGTAAAAGCCTGTAATACACATACTAATAATAAAAAGCAATAAATTAAAACATACTGCCATTTTGTTACTTCTTTTCTAATTGTTTTGTAACTCCTCTCTTGCTTTCTTTCTGTTTTCTTTTGTGTTTAAGTGATTTTCTCCAGTAGTATAAATCCTTACCTAACAACAATAACATTAAATATAAATGGACTAAATTCTCCAATTACAACAAACTCACTTCACCTATAAAGATACATGTAGACAAAAAGTGAGGGGATGCAAAAAGATATTCCATGGAACTAGAAACCAAAAAAGAGCAGTAGTAGGTATACTTAGATAAAACAGACTTTACATCAATAAGTGTTAGAAGAGACAAAGAAGGTCAGTATATAACGATATTATATCCTTAGCAAAAGGATATAATAAATACATATGCACACAAATATGGAAAGCAAATGTTAATAAATCTAAAGGGAGAGACAAACAGCAACACAATAATATCAAGGGTCTTCAAAACACAATTTTTTTTTTTTTTCTTTGAGACGGAGTTTTGCACTTGTTACCCAGGCTGGAGTGCAAAGGCGCGATCTCGGCTCACCACAACCTCCACCTCCTGGGTTCAGGCAATTCTCCTGCCTCAGCCTCCTGAGTAGCTGGGATTACAGGCACGCGCCACCATGCCCAGCTAATTTTTTTTTTATTTTTAGTAGAGACAGGGTTTCATCATGTTGACCAGGATGGTCTCGATCTCTTGACCTCATGATCCACCCACCTCGGCCTCCCAAAGTGCTGGGATTACAGGCTTGAGCCACCACACCCGGCCCCAAAACACAATTTTTGGTAACCAATAGATAAGGCAGAAAACCAATTTAAAAAATCAGAGTTAAAGTATATGACAGACTAAATTGACCTAAACAATACTTTTTTTAAAAAAAAAAAGACATGGGGTCTCCCTGTGTTGCGCAACCCACTCTGTTGTGCAGCACCCAGTCACAGGTGAGTTCACAGTGCACTGCAGCCTTGAACTCCTGGCTTTAAGCATTCCTCTTGCCTCAGTCTCCCAAATAGCTAAAATTACAGGCATGTTCCATTGCATCTGCCCTAACAGACACTTACAGACCATTTGATCCAACTGTTGCACAATACACATTCTTCCCATCAGCATATGAATCATGCTTCAGGATAGATTATAAGACACCAAATGAGGGCCGGGTGCGGTGGCTCACGCCTATAATCCCAGCACTTTGGGAAGCCAAGGCAGGTGGATCACGAGGTCAAGAGATCGAGACCATCCTGGTCAACAAGGTAAAATCCCCTCTCTACTAAAAATACAAAAATTAGGGCTGGGCATGGTGGCACGTGCCTGTAATCCCAGCTACTCAGGAGGCTGAGGCAGGAGAATTGCCTGAACCCAGGAGGCAGAGGTTGCGGTGAGCCGAGATCGCACCATTGCACTCCAGCCTGGGTAACAAAAGCAAAACTCTGTCTCAAAAAAAAAAAAAAAAAAAAAAAAAAGACACCAAACAAGTCTCAATAAATTCAAAAAGGTCAAAATAGTATCTAGTATATTCTCAGACCATAATAAAATAACACTAGAAATCAACAACAAGAAGAGTCTCGGAAAATATACAAACATGGTTGGGTGCATTGGCTCACGCCTGTAATCCCAGCACTTTGGGAGGCCAAAGCAGGCGGATCACCTGAGGTCAGAGGTTTGAGGCTAGCCTGGTCACCATAGTGAAACCCCATCTCTACTAAAAATACAAAAATCAGCCAGGTGTGGTGGCATGTGCCTGTAATTCCAGCTACTTGGGAGGCTGAGGCAAGAGAATCACTTGAACCCGGAGGCAAAGGTTGCAGTGAACCAAGATCACGCCACTGCATTCCAGTCTGGGCAAGACAGTGAGACTCCGTCGCAAAAAAAAAAAAAAAAAAAAAAGAATTACCTGGGCATCATTGTGTGTGCCTGTAACTCCAGGTACTGCAGGTGAGAGGGTCAGCTGAGCCCAGGAGTTTGAGTTTGCAGTGAACTATGATTGTGCCACTGCACTCCAGTCTGGGTGAGAGAGAGAGAGAGACTGTCTCAAAAAAAAAAAAAAAAAAAAAAAGAAAACGAAAAAAGAAAAGAAAAGGAAAAAGAAAGAACTAATACTAACTCTACTCAAACTCTTTAAAAAATCGAAGGGAGCACATATTTCCAAACTCATTTTATGAGGCCAGCATTACCCTGATGCCAAAAAGCAGACAAGGATACAACAACAAAAAGACAACTATAGGCCAATATCCCTGATGAATATATATGCAAAAATCCTCAACAAAACGGAAGTGGCAAATACAATTCAACAACACATTAAAAAGGCATTCACCATGATCAGGTGGGATTCATTCCAGGAACGCAAGGAGAGTTTATACACATGAATTAATGAATGTGATTCATCGCATCAACAGAATCAAGGACAAAAACTGTATTATCATTTCAATAGATGCTGGAAAATGACCCAATAAAATCAGTATCTCTTCATGATAAAAAGTCTAAACAACCTGGATGCAGAAAAAACATACCTAAACATGATAAAAGCCATATATGACAAATCCACAGGGAATATACTAAACAAAAATTGAAAGCCTTTCTGCTAAGATCTGGAAGACAAGGGTGTCCACTTTCACTCCTTCTATTCGACACAGCATTGATCTTCTAGCCAAAGCAATTAGGCAAGAGAAAGAAATAAAAAAACATACGAATGGAAAAGGAGGAAGTCAAAATACACTTCTTTGCAGATGACATGACTTTATATGTAGAAAAACCTAATGGCTCCACTAAAACACTCTTACAATTTAGCAAACTATATAGAATTCAGATCTGTATGACTGAGAACTGGGCATCAGATAGAATCAACTACAGAAGGAAACACCAAAGGACAAAACAACCCTTTTGTAACAGCCTTCCCTGTTCCACATGGAATCAAGGAACCAGAGTTTTCGGAAGCTAGAAAACAGTGGTGTCCATTATGATAAAGCCTTTGCCTTTGTTTGAGCTACAGCGCAATTAGAGGGCGAAAGGATAAACTAGTACAAGTCTAAAGGACAGATAAAAGGGGGTAAAGACTTCTGTTCAGAGGTCACAGGATTCTCTATGTGTATAGATTTTCCCAAACACTGTTTAATAAGCAGCATTCTCTCCACCCATCTGAACTCTTACCTGTGATCAGGGCTTTGATCCATTCCCATCCATTTGGGCTTCCTGCCATCTGTACTTGGCTATCCAGAGTGAAAGGCTCCTTCCCTTGCTCCAACATAGAGATAATACTGAGGTCAAAACAAGAGATTCCTGCTTATGAAAGAAAGGAAAACAATGGGCTGTAGAGTTTCCAGAGTTCCAGTCCTATGTTTACATGAGGAGGGAGAACTTCACAGATATATCTAGAAAAAAACTTCAAAAACTCATCTACTAAATGCTTCCTGATGAATTTTTAGGAAACACTGTAATATGCAAATATACAGCTCTCATCCCCAAACCACTGAATCAGAGCATGGGGATAGAAAACAGCGAATTGGGTATTTTAAAAGCTCTGAAACCCTCCAGTGACATCAGGAAGAGGACAATGGAAATCCAGTTTCCACATTATGGAAATTTTCATTTTTGAGTCAACACAGCTTCAGTTTCAGCCAAGCCATGCAGGGGCTCCCAAGAGAACCACAAGGAAAAGGAAAAGAGACACAAGGGAAGATCCTAACTTCTGGAGGAAAGTCATCCTCACCCAGGGAGGCCAGGTTCCTGTAGTTCTCCAACATCACGTCCCTGTACAAACTCCTCTGAGCAGGGTCCAGGCATGTCCACTCCTCCTGAGAGAATTCTATAGCCACATCCCTGAATGTCACCTGTCCCTAAAATAAAAAACACATCCACCAAGGGGATAAGAGGAAATTTCTAATTTTCACATAAAATGAGAAGAATAAACTGAAGTGAGTGGGCTGACATCCAAGTTGTGATATAATAAAATATACATGGTCTTCATCCCCCTTTCCTGACATACATTTCACTTGGAATCTCTGGAGTGATAAGTATCTTTGCAAGCTAATGAGATGACTGGTGGCTAGAGGCCCCAAGACAGTTTCAGAATAGGGGCTGGTCACCAGAAAGACCGAGGCTGGATTAGAGAGCTGGGGCTTCAAGCCCCATGCCCCAACTTCCCCTGAGGGGACAAGGGCTGAAGGTTCAGTTGATCACCAATAGCCAAAGATGTAAGCAATCATGCCCACATAATGAAGCCCCCATAATAACCTGAAAGGATAGGGCCCGAACAAGCTCCCGAATAGGGAAATACATGAAGGGCCTCCCGAGTAGCTGGGATTACAAGCGTGCACCACCAGACCATGCCCCTTCTATACCTTACCAAATAGACTCCTTACATCTGTGTGTTCATCTCTATACTCTGTAATATCCTATATAATAAATGGGTCAATATACGCAAAGTGTTTCCCTGATATCTGTGAGCCACTCTAGCAAATGAATCAAAGCTGAGGAGGGGTCATGGGAATTCATGATGCATAGCCAGTCAGTGAGAAGCAAAGGTCATCTGTGTTTGCAACTGGCACTGAAATGGGTACACTCTTGTGGGACTGAGCCCTCAGCTTGTGGGATCTGAAGCTATCTATGTCCAGGTAGATAGTGTCAGAATTCAACTGAATAGAGGTCACCCAGCTGGTGTCTAGTCCAGAACTGCTTGCTTAGTGTGTGTGGGACATCTGGGATCACAGATGTGTTCTCTGTTGTGAGTACAGTAGGAGAAAGTGGATCTGTTTTCACTGCATTCTCACACACACACATTATTTTTGAGCAGGAGGTTTCCTTGTCTTCTTATACTTTTGTATAAGAGGTTATGATAGCCTCTAAATCAGTATTGATTTCTCAGTTTTGTAGACAATACAAAAAATATACAAATATACAAACAAAAAACCAACACTGGGTTAACTTTATTGAAGTGTTATATATCATGTTTGACACACCAAGTGATATTCAGTATCTAAATGATCTAGAGCATGAGTAACGCCTTATGAGTGAAAATGTATACAGTGACTGTATACATGAAAATGTATACAGTTTTAAGATTCTGAATCTTAAAACTGTGATAATCCTCACAATAACAATGACAGATGTTTCTGAGCACTTCCCCAGTGCAAGGCATTATCCTACTTATTTATTTACTTACTTGAATATATATATATATATATATATATATATTTTTTTTTTTTTTTTTTTTTTTTTTTTTTTTGAGACGGAGTTTCGCTCTTGTTACCCAGGCAGGAGTGCAATGGCGCGATCTCGGCTCACCGCAACCTCCGCCTCCTGGGTTCAGGCAATTCTCCTGCCTCAGCCTCCTGAGTAGCTGGGATTACAGGCACGCGCCACCATGCCCAGTTAATTTTTTGTATTTTTAGTAGAGACGGGGTTTCACCATGTTGACCAAGGATGGTCTCGATCTCTTGACCTCGTGATCCACCCGCCTCAGCCTCCCAAAGTGCTGGGATTACAGGCTTGAGCCACCGCGCCCGGCTACTTACTTATATTTTTGAGATGGAGTTGCTCTGTCGCCCAGGCTGAAGTGCAGTGGCGTGGCGTGATCTTGGCTCACTGCAACCTACACCTCCTGGGCTCAAGTGACTGAAGCAAGTCTCCTGCTTCAGCCTCCCAACTAGCTGGAATTACAGGTATCCACTACCAGGCCCAGTTAATTTTTGTATTTTTACTAGAGACAGGGTTTCACTGTGTTGGCCAGGCTGGCCTCGAACTCTTGACCTCAGGTGATCCACTTGCCTTGGCCTCCCAAAGTGCTGGGATTACAGGTGTGAGCCACTGTGCCTGGTCTGACATTATTCTAAATAAATGTCATGCATGTAGTAATTTGTATATGAATATGACAGCTCATGAGAGAAAGATCTGTTCCCATCTTACTAGGAGATAAATGTATGACAGACACTCTAAGAAACTTGTGTCAAGTCAAAGACCTAAAATGTCAGAGCAAACTTCTGAGTCCAGGTGTTTGGGAATAAGAATTAAACCTAAAGAATCCAACAGTTAAGTAAGAGAGTATGAAAAGTGCCTACATGAGCGAAGGTGAAACAAGGTCGTGAATACCAACATGCAACTACATATAAACACATTTATTTATACCCATAATGTTTTACTATTCTTACTTTTTTTTTTTTGAGATGGAGTTTCACTCTTGTTGCCCGGGCTGGAGTGCATGGCACAAACCTGGCTCACCACAATCTCCACCTCCCGGTTCAAGCGATTCTCCTGTCTCAGCCTCCCGAGTAGCTGGGATTACAGGCATGTGCCACCATACCCGATTATTTTGTATTTTTAGTAGAGATCGGGTTTCTCCATGTTGGTAAGGCTGGTCTCAAACTCCTGACCTCAGGTGATCTGCCTGCCTCACTCTCCCAAAGTGCTGGGATTACAGGCATAAGCCATTGTGCCTGGCTACTATTCTTACTATTAAGTTATTAATGTGATAGTTGAGAACAAATATAAGACAGAAAACATTAGCTGGGCGCGGTGGCTCACGCCTGTAATCCAAGCACTTTGGAGGCCAAGCGGGCAGATCACCTGAGGTCGGGAGTTCAAGACCAGCCTGACCAACATGGTGAAACCCTGTCTTTATAAAAAAAAAAGACAGAAAACATTTATGATGTAATTTGAACTGCTAAAAAATATAAAGCTTATTGAAAGTTATGATGTGTCCTTAATAAAAAACCATGCACTCATATCACATATACTCAGTTTAATAACAACAGGGAAAAGTTAAAATATCCATCTATCCTCATTCAGAAAAAGGTCTGATAAGGATGAAGAATGAGCTATCCATATTTCCTAACATGAAAACATGTAAATTTTCAAAATCTGCATGCTAAAGTATCACAACAAAACTTTCACTGAAGGGCGGGCATGGTGGCTCATGCCTGTAATCCCAGCACTTCGGGAGGTCAAGATGGGCTGATCAGTTGAGGTCAGAAATTTGAGACCAGCCTGGCCAACATGGTGAAGACTTGTCTCTATTATAAATATTAAAACTAGGCTGGGTGCAGTGGCTCACGCCTGTAATCCCAATACTTTAAGAGGCCTGGGCGGGCAGAACACCTGAGGTCAGGAGTTTGAGACCAGCCTGGCCAACATGGGGGAAACCCTGTCTTTAGTAAAAATACAAAAATTAGCCAGGCTTGGTGGTGCATGCCTGTAATCTCAGCTTCTTGGGAGGCTGAGGTGGGAGAATCACTTGAACTTAGGAGGCAGAGGTTGCGTTGAGCCGAGATTGTGCCATTGCATTCCAGCCTGGGCAACAAGAACAAAACACCGTCTCAAAAAAAAAAAAAAATACACACACACACACACACACACACACACACACAAATAAACTAGTTGGGTGTGGTGGCATGCAACTGTAGTCCCAGCTACTTTGGAGGCTGAGGTGAAAGACTGCTTGAATCCAGGAGGCAGAGGTTGCACTCAGCCGAGATTGTGCCACTCTAACCCTGAGCAACAGAGTGAAACTCTGTCTCAAAAAAAAAAAAAAAATTAACTGAAACATTTTGTTCTTAATGTCATAACAATCTACAAACACATTTCTATAGGACTTGAGCTGTCTCCTGACATGAAACTGACAACACTACTTCCCCACTGAGATGAGATGGAGGACGGAAGATGCAACAGGAAGGGGATGCTTTATGGTTTAGGGTGTGAGCTGCAAGTTTGCTTGGAGTTATACTACAAAACAGAGAAATACAACATGTCAAGTTTAAAATGAAAGAAACAGCCGGGCCAGGCGCGGTGGCTCAAGCCTGTAATCCCAGCACTTTGGGAGGCCTAGGTGGGTGAGTCGCTGGAGCTCAGGAGTCCAAGACTAGCCTGGGCAACATGGTAAAACACTGTCTCTATAAAACATACAAAAATCAGACAGGCATAGTGGTGTGTGCCTGTAGTTGAGCTACTTGGAAGTCTGAGGCACGAGGATCGATTGAACCCAAGAGGTTTGAGAACTGCAGTGAGCTAGGATCATGTCACTGCACTCCAGCCTGGGCAACAGGGTGAGACTCTGTCTCAAAGTAAGTAAATAAATACAATAAATAGAATATTTAATAATTGGTAAAACAAGAATGTGGTTCTATCCTTTCTAATGGCAATGAAGTTCTGCTCTGATAACCGAGCAAAATAACCATTCTCACCTAGCACAGGAGTCCCTGCAGAAACACCGTAGTCTCCACTGTATGGGTTTTCTGAGAACAGGTGAATGATTCTCCTGCTTTTTCCTTTTAGGTTGATTTCAAGTATTAAAATAGACGATGGGGCCAGGCGCGGTGGCTCACGCCTGTAATCCCAGCACTTTGGGAGGCCGAGGCGGGTGGATCATGAGGTCGAGAGATCAATACCATCCTGGTCAACATGGTGAAATCCCGTCTCTACTAAAAATACAAAAAATTGGGCATGGTGGCACGTGCCTGTAATCCCAGCTACTCAGGAGGCTGAGGCAGGAGAATTGCTTGAACCCAGGAGGCGGAGGTTGCGGTGAGCCGAGATCGCGCCACTGCACTCCAGCCTGGGTAACAAGAGCGAAACTCCGTCTCGAAAAAAAAAAAATAGACGATGGGATGAAAGAATCCTCTGCCACTGATGCCTGTCAGCCTCAAGCTCCCATTCCATTCCCAGTCATTAGTAAAACTTTGGAGCTGGAAACAGTGACTCACTTGGTCAGCTTCGAATGTAATATAAATGAGTCAAAAAATATTTCCCTTTATTAGTCTATTTTATAGAATTTAGTAGGTATTTGTGCATATTAATAAGTGACGTCCATGTGCAGTTTCTCTACTCCTGGTCCACAGCCAGCTGACGGTACATCCCGATGTGGCTCCTGAACAATCCCTGCTGCCCAGCAGCCCTGACACCACGGGGCCCACACCCCATCTCCATCCATGTCTGGGGTGAGCCCTTCCCAGGACCATGCCCAGTGCAGCCTCTTCCCAAGCTCATGTCACTGGGTCACGGGAGATGGAATCTAAGTGAGATGAGAGGGACTGAGGGAAGGCATGGGTGAGTGCCAGCAAACGTGTCAGGCAGGACGCTTCAGACTCAGCAGATTTGCTGCTTCAAAGAGTGACATGTCAGGAAGAAATAAGAGGCAGAACAACCCACTGAGAATGTGACTTTACCTGAGTGAGAGCCATGCCTGACTTCTCCTTCGCTCCTCTGCCTCCTCTTTGAGGGTTCTTCCTTAGGGAACAGGAAAGCACCTTGAGAAGTCAATACTAAATATCCAAAATGTGCTGTCTATTGCTCAGAATCAACACATCCCCTTCCTCTGCCACAGTCACACACACACAGGGAAGACCCTCACCCTGTGGAAAGATGGTCCTCTGTGGCCCACTGCACCAGGTGCAATGCAAGGACAAGAAACTACTACGGGAAGAACAGTAAGTGAGTTTCTGGCCCCTTTCTTCAGAACCAGCTGCTCTCCTGGAGAAGCCCACACACATGCCACAGCAGTGGGGAGCTGGGCTGGAAGGAGCTCCCCTTAGGGCACAGACCCAGCCCTGACCTAATCCCATGCAGAGAACAGCCTCCCTCACCTCTCTGTGGATTGCAGGCCAATCTCAGGCCTCAGAAATGAAAGGCAGAGGCTGGATGCGGTGGCTCACACCTGTAATCCCAGCACTTTGGAAGGCCGAGTTGGGTGGATCACCTGAGGTTGGGGGTTCAAGACCAAGCCTGGCCAACATGGAGTAACTCCATCTCTACTAGAAATACAAAAATTAGCTGGGTGTGGTGGCGGGCACCCATAAACCCAGCTACTTGGGAGGCTGAGGCAGGAGAATCGCTTGAACCTTGGAGGTGGAAATTGCAGTAAGCCAGAATCATGTACTCTAGCCAGGGCCACAGAGCAAGACTCCGTCTCAAAAAAAAAAAAAAAAAAAAAAATGTAAAGCTTAATGGGATGTCCTAAAAGCCAGGAAAATAGAAAAGAAAGTGATCAACTGTGCCACATGCTGCTGATAGTAATGGAAAGATGACAGGAAATTAAACACTGAATTTCAAATGGAGCTGTCAGTGGTAACTAAAAAAGAGAGTATCAATGGAATGCTGGGTATGAGAGCTTGATTCAAGCAAGAGTTCAAGCAAGAATTGAACACACACAAAAAATTGTAGTGTAAGGAGGCTGAGGCAGAATTGCCTGAGCCCAGGAGGCGGAGGTTGCGGTGAGCCGAGATCGCGCCATTGCACTCCAGCCTGGGTAATAAGGGCGAAACTCCGTCTAAAAAAAAAAAAAAAAAAATTGTAGTGTATTGTACTCTTAAATGGAGCACAGACGAGGCGCACGTACTATATAGAGTGAAATGTAGTATAGGGGTTGGTTTTTTTTTTTTTTTTTTTTTGAGACGGAGTTTCGCTCTCATTACCCAGGCTGGAGTGCAATGGCGCGATCTCGGCTCACCGCAACATCCGCCTCCCGGGTTCAGGCAATTCTCCTGCCTCAGCCTCCTGAGTAGCTGGGATTACAGGCACGTGCCACCATGCCCAGCTAATGTTTTGTATTTTTAGTAGAGACGGGGTTTCACCATGTTGACCAGGATGGTCTTGATCTCTCGACCTCGTGATCCACCCGCCTCGGCCTCCCAAAGTGCTGGGATTACAAGCTTGAGCCACCGCGCCCAGCCGGTTTTTGTTTTTTTTTTTAAGATGGAATCTTGCTCTTGTCACCCAGGCTGAAGTGTAATGGCACAATCTTGGCTCACCGCAACCTCTGCCTCCCGAGTTCAAGTGAGTCTCCCGCCTCAGCCTCCCAAGTAGCTGGGATTACAGGCGCGTGCCACCATGCTCAGGTAATTTTTGTATTTTTAGTAGAGTCAGGGTTTCACCAGGTTGGCCAGGTTGGTCTCGAACTCTTGATCTCTGGTGATCGGCCCGCTTCGACCTCCCAAAGTGCTGGGATTACAGGTGTGAGCCACCATACCTGGCCAATTTAGAGTATTTTTTGTTTTAGAGATGTAGTGTAGAAGAAAAAAAGGGCTTTATTCTATGTCTTTTTTTTTTTTTTGAGACAGGGTCTTGCTTTGTTGCCCAGGCTAGAGTGCGATGGCATGAACGTAGCTCATTACAGCCTCAGGCTCTTGTGCTCAAGCGATTCTCTCACCTCAGCCTCGCAAGTAGCTGGGACCACAGGTATCAGCCACCACGTCCAGTTTATTTCTTTTCTAATTTTCACAGAGATGGGGTCTTGCTATGTTGCCCAGGCTGGTCCCAAACTCCTGGGCTCAAGCAATCCTCCCACCTTGTCCTCTCAAAGTGTTGGGACTGCATGTGTGAGCCACTCTGCCCAGCCCTGGGTACGTGTCTTAATGGAGAACACCTGCCCCTGGGTACAGGGATGAATTCCCTTGAAGTTAAAATTCTGAAAGCTTTATGAATTGGGAAGAAAAAAAAAGAAGTTAAAATCAATCGCATGCATATTGTTCTGAGACTGGGAGTCGGGCTGGCACGTGGTGCACAATTGCAGGGGAGCAGCAGCCAGAAGCAGGGACAGGCCATTCCCAGTCACTACTGAGTATAGGCCACAGGCCCTGACAGGTGGGTGCGTCACTTGGAGGTCTCTGCCTTTACTCTTTGAGATAGGAAAAAACGAGCTGGGCGCGGTGGCTCACGCCTGTAATCCCAGCATTTTGGGAGGCTGAGGCTGGCGGATCACCTGAGGTCGGGAGTTCAAGAGCAGCCTGACCAACATGGTGAAACTCTGTCTCTAAAAAAAAAGAAAAAGATAAAGATAGGAAAAAACCAAACTCTACATACTGCTCTCACATTAACACAGAGTCCTTCACCTCTAGTCATCAAAGTGTGCGTGTGGCTTTTCCCACAATCACCAGTTCCCCAGGGGACTCCCAGCTGGGGGGAGGTCCCACAATTTCACTTAACTCTGACATTAACTACAAAAAGACAGCATGGACTAGGCGAGGTGGCTCATTTCTATAATCTCAGCATTTTGGGAGGCCAAGGCAGGCGGATCACTTGAGGCCAACAGTTCGAGACCAGTGTGGCCAACAGGGTGAAACCCCATCCCTATTAAAAATATAAAAAGTAGCTGGGTGTGGTGGCGCGCACCTGTAATCCCAGCTACTCGGGAGGCTGAGGCAGGAGAATCGCTTGAACTCAGGAGGCAGAGGTTACTGTGAGCCAAGATCATGCCACTGCACTCTAGCCTGGGTGACAGAGCAAGACTCTGGTTTTTTTGTTTTTGTTTTTGTGTTTTAAAGGACAGAATGAGGTGCTACAGGTTCAGAGCTCAGTTTAAAACTGCCCCTCGCTTCCGACACGGTATGCAAATGGTGCCTGTCACTTATACTCTTTGAGTGACCTGACAAATACTGTGGTTCTTTTAAACCCTCCTCTGCTTTAACTTTCTAGGACAGCTCTGCCTTCTGACTGTTCATCTGTATCCTTGGTGAAATCCTTTATAAATGTGTAAACTAAGTAACGTGTTTCCCTGAGTTCTATGAGCTACACTCGCAAATTTACAGAACCCGAGGTGTTGTAGGGGATATCAAGGGAATCCCCACTCTATTGCTGGTCGCTCAGAAGTTCAGGTCCCAATGTGAGACTTGTAACTGGCACCTGATGTGGGGCAGTTTCGTGGAACTGAGCCTCAACCAGTGGGATCTGATGCTAACTCCAACGTAGTTTCAGAACTGAGTTAAACTATAGGACAATCAGTTCGTGTCTGACAGGGAATGGGTTGCTGGTGGGAGAAATCTGCTCATTTTGGTGAGTGGAGATGCGATATTGCACAGAATGTGCACTGTGGTACTGAGTGTGACAGGAAGAAAAACCAAAGGAAAAATATTTTTGTTTTTCCTCTTAGTTCCTACACTCGCCCAACCCTACCCTATCCCAGGAAAAGGGAAGTGGTGACTCAAAACCAAACGAGTGAAGTCACGACCCTCTGGTTTCAAGAGCGATTGCAAATGAAGCTATACTCTAATACTAAGAACTGTCAAACGCACATGTCTTAGGCATTTTACATAAAGGAGTTTCTTCAGTTCTCATTCACATCTGCGTAATTTGAGTACACGTATTTTAAATGTGTTGCATTATTATAAACCCAGAAACCAGTCGCAATGTAATCATCACATGGAATCAATGCACCACTCACCTGGACCCAGGGTCCCTCTCTCGCTTCCATACTGCATCTTTCCCTCCCTCACTCTGTGCATCTCTCTCATTCTCACATTAGCTTATTTTTCATTTTCTGTGTTTTTCCCCTGGTTCTTTCCAAGTTGTTTTGTGCTCCCTGCTGTTTCTCTCCTTCTTCCTGTTTCTTCCTTCCTCCTCTTCCACCTGTTCTGTCCCATTCTGGGGCCTTGTTTCAATTCTGACTGCTCTTTCTCCCCAATTTTTTCATTGTCCCAGTCTCTATATACATTTCTGCCTCTTTCTTTCTTTTTTTTTTTTTCCGAGACGGAGTTTCGCTCTTGTTACCCAGGCTGGAGTGCAATGGCGCGATCTCGGCTCACCGCAACCTCCGCCTCCTGGGTTCAGGCAATTCTCCTGCCTCAGCCTCCTGAGTAGCTGGGATTACAGGCACGCGCCACCATGCCCAGCTAATTTTTTGTATTTTTAGTAGAGACGTGGTTTCACCATGTTGACCAGGATGGTCTCGATCTCTCGACCTCGTGATCCACCCGCCTCGGCCTCCCAAAGTGCTGGGATTACAGGCTTGAGCCACCGCGCCCGGCTCTGCCTCTTTCTTCTTCCATCTCTGCTCCCCCTGTAAACCCTCTCTTCCCTGTTACACTCCTTGTCCTATTCTCTGGCACCCACAGGCCCCAGGCCTCCCCCTGCCGCGGTCTTCCCTCTGCTCTCCTTGTCACCCACTGTCCCCTCCTTGCTGTCCCAGCACCACACTACTCTGTCTGACCTGGCTCCAAATCTCTCCTCCTCTCCCCGACTCTCTGTCTGAAGAGCCTCCCCCTATCTGCCCCTCTCCCCGCCATGCCATCCCTTCATCTCTCTGGACACCGCGCTTTTCTCTACATTTCTCCAGTTGCTTTTCTCCTGCTTTCTCAGCTCCTTCTTTCACGCTTACTATGGCTGCAAATCCTCACCCACCCTCTGCTGTGCCAGCTGTTTATGGGTTTCCTTCATTCTTTTCCTCTGTCTCAGTTGTTCTGCTTTTCTCTCTGTCCCTCTCTGTCTCCCGATCCCACACATGCACAGGAGGGTTTGGAGTAAGACGCCTGCATCCCCGAGGGAGGAGCACATTTTCCAGGGGGTGGAGCTGGTCAGGTGTCACAGGACAGGCCCCGGGCCCCTCCCAACGCGGACTCAGGGAAGCGGCGACTGCGGAGGGGAGACCTGGGGAGCAGCAGGGCCCGGCACGAGGAAGAGGGAGGTGGGGGGACGGCGTCTTAGGACAGGGGTGGGGTCTGCAGGATCCCAGGACCAGGCAGAGCACGCGGCCTCCCAGGGACCCGGACTGCGGCGCTGCGCTCCAGGGGCCCACGAGGGCGAGGCTGGGAGGCAGCCAGGGCGGGAATCCACCTCGCAGGTGAGGACTTGAAAAAGCTGGGGGCGGGAAGAAGGGACGGGAAAGGGTTTTAAGCGGGAGGAAGAAGCAAAAGGCCAGGGACAGGGAGCAGCCTCTGAGAGACTTCAACCTGAAGGAAAGCGACTCGGGACCCACACCGCGAGGACTGTATTCACCTGGGGTGGAGGGCGCGGTGCGGGGATCTTAAGGTCTGTAGCGAGCCCGGGAACAGAGTGTGGAAACGGAGTATGGCGATTCGCAAGTTTAAGCCATACTGAAGGACACTCACGCTCCGCGGCGTCACCTCCACCCAACGGATCCGCTTCCGGAACTGCAGGAGACTGCGCATGCGCGGAGAAGAACACAGGTCGTCTGGGGGCGTGGCCTACGCGAGAGGCGGGGTCTACGGACGCAACGCGGGGGCGGAGCCCGGGCGGGGTCTGCCCTTTGCTAAACCTAACTCACAGCTTCTCACTCTTCCCGGTTACAAAACGCTGGAGCGTTCACCGTGACCCAGGGAGCATGGTTCACATCTGAGCAGTTGTAAGGTGAAAGAACAGACTTATGTGGACCACTTACATTAGAAACCAAAATGTGTTCCTCTTACCAAGTTGAAAACAATTTGTGTTAAAGTTGTTGGCTGGTGTGGGTAACCCCCCAATATAGGCACTGAGGAAAGAGAGCTAAGCAGAGCCCTGGCACAGTTAGGGCTTGAGGAATATCTCACTTTATAGTGTTACCACTCAGCGATTTCCTTTTATATAATCCTTTATATAATCATACATTAGTTTATAGAATTAGGGCTTGAAGAATCCCTTTATATAATCATATAATAGTTGATAGTATGAGTGCCTAAAGAATATTTCCCTACATATGTACCTATAATTATATCTTAGTTCATAATCAGACGAATGCCTGGAGTGGACACAGTACAGGCGCGAATTAAGGAATAAGCAGCTTATAACTGGAGGAATGCCTAGAGCAGATGTGTGGGTAACCCCCCATATAGGCACCGAGGAATGAGAGCTAAGCAGAACCCTGGCACAGTTAGGGCTTGAGGAATATCTCACTTTATAGTGTTACTACTCAGCTATTTTCTTTTATATAATCCTTTACATAATCATATATTAGTTTGTAGAAATAGGGCTTGTAGGCTCCCTTTACATAATCCTCTCTATATAATGATATAATAGTTGATAGTGAGAGTGCCTAAAGAATATTTCCCTACGTATATACCTATAACTCTATCTTAGTTCATAATCGGAGGAATGCCTACAGCAGACAGTGCAGAGCATGAATTAAGGAATAAGCAGCTTATAGTCGGAGGAATGCCTAGAGCAGACACAGCGCAGAGCATGATTTAAGGGAAAACAGTTAGACCAGGACAAGAATCCATGGCCCAGGCGGCGGCATTCAGTATCGTAAAGATACCTACTGTATAGCAGGCTTGGGGTGAGAGCCACCCCTCCTGATAAAGGAGTTGTAGGACCTTGCTCCAGTTCTTGTGGAAGGCTGCCCTCAGAATGGCAATCCACCTTGGTGACTGTGAACTTTATCAGCTCTTGCTACTGTGCTGCTTGAAAAGCATCTTCCTATAGAACTCACTGGAAGCTGCTGATAGGTGGCGGTAACCCTGACGGCTCTGTGACTTAAAGCATCCCCCCATAAATCTTCTTAGAAGTAGTTTGCCAATAGATAGAAATATTGCACACTGCACCCTCTTCCCTGCTCATGGCCCACCTTCAAGCCTCTGTGACCTAATGCGGGTGGACCCCTTACTGCACACGGCCCTTGCCTTTGTGGGAACGGGCCCCTTGCTGTGCACTGTCCACCTGCTGGCCTAGGTGCCCTAATGGGGGTGGACCCCTCATTTTATTGCTCATGACCCTATCACTATCCTTAAAGATGATTCCACTCACTGTCCTGCCCCTTAACCTACACACAATAAATACTCATGCTTCTGGACATTCGGGGCCTCGCCTGACTCCGCTCATAGGTGGCATGGCCCCTCGGGCCTAGCTGCGTTTTCCTTGTACTTCTGTGTCCTGTCTCTTTATTTATTGGATCCTGAGCCTCAGCACAGCATAAGGCTCACCCCACGACCCTGTGGGCCATCAGCCCTACATTTGGAATGGAGGGAGCCGTGCCGGGACTTTAAGGGTTATAGGAACCCCCGGACATGGGGTACAGAAGCGCTGGTGAGTTTCCCTCTACCTAGATTAAACCTTCTCCAAAACACACATTCAATCTAGGTAGAGGGAAACTCAAGCCATGAGGCCCAGCCTTCGCTCCACCAGAACTGCTTCCGGGTTTGCAAGAAACTGCACGAGCAGCAAAGGGTGTCGGCGGCCTGAGGGCGGGGCCTGGGCGGACAGTGGCAAAGGGGCGGGTCGTGGAGGGGGGTGGGGTGGAGAAGCCAGGTGTTGGGCGGGGCGGAGAGAATGGAGGCGGGGCCTTGGTGGGGAGGGGCGGGGCCTGGTTGGACTGCAGCAAAGGGGTGGGTAGTGGAGGGGAAAGGCCAGGTGTTGGTGGGGCGGAGTGGATGGGGAGGCGGGGCCTGGGCAGGGAGGAACTGAGCGGACCACGGCAAAGGGGCGGGTCGCGGGGAAAAAGACAGGTGTTTTAAAAATCAAACTTATTTCAAGTGATGTGTCTTTGATAAAAAAACCACGGGCTTCGCCGGGCGTGGTGGGTCACGCCTGTAACCCTAGCACTTTCGGAGGCTGAGGTGGGTGGATCACCTGAGGTCAGGAGTTCGAGACCAGCCTGGCCATCATGGTGAAACGCTATCTTTAAAAAACAAAAACAGAAACAAAAACAAAACCATGGACTTCTACATGCATACGCTAAATGCACATACATCACATGTACACACAGTTAAATAAGAGTTGTGTCTCAGTGACTTTTTTCTTTCTTTCTTTTTTTTTTTTTGAGACGGAGTTTTGCACTTGTTACCCAGGCTGGAGTGCAATGGCGCGATCTCGGCTCACCGCAAACTCCACCTCCTGGGTTCAGGCAATTCTCCTGTCTCAGCCTCCTGAGTAGCTGGGACTACAGGCGTGCGCCACCATGCCCAGCTAATTTTTGTATTTTTAGTAGAGACGGGGTTTCACCTTGTTGACCAGGATGGTCTCGATCTCTTGACCTTGTGATCCACCCGCCTCGGCCTCCCAAAGTGCTGGGATTACAGGCTTGAGCCACCGCGCCCGGCTGAATGATTTTTAAAATTACCACTTTTGCTTATGTGCATTTCAGCGTTTCGGACAAACTTGCTTGTAGTTACCTGAAAAGCTTTGGCAGTTTTTCTGCAGGCGCCCTCCTGCTGATAGTCTGCAGGCAACTCCGCGGTAGCTGGGTTTTCATGGTAAACTGTGGTCTGGTTCGCCCCCTAGTGTCCGCCTGCGTTACTGCAGACTCTGGTTTATGTTGGTTGTATTTATTCTCAGTGGTTTCCCTGACCTGGTACCCTCTTACTTTCAGTGTTTATATTCAACCAAGACAGAAACTTGTCCCTCAGGCAGTGCCCTGAAAACTCAGGATATTATATGGACCTTTCCATACTTTCCCTCCCCTTGGAAAAATCAAGAGTTTGTGGTTTCATCACAGTGACACCAGATGATGCCAGCGTAGGATCTTTGCCAGTAAGTGTCTCAAATTTTCCTACTGGGCACTTATTAAGAGTTCCAGGGCCGGGCGCGGTGGCTCAAGCCTGTAATCCCAGCACTTTGGGAGGCCGAGGCGGGTGGATCATGAGGTCAAGAGATCGAGACCATCCTGGTCAACATGTGAAAGCCCGTCTCTACTAAAAATACAAAAAAACTAGCTGGGCGTGGTGGCGCGTGCCTGTAATCCCAGCTACTTAGGAGGCTGAGGCAGGAGAATTGCCTGAGCCCAGGAGGCGGAGGTTGCGATGAGCCGAGATCGCGCCATTGCACTCCAGCCTGGGTAACAAGAGCGAAACTCCGTCTCAAAAAAAAAAAAAAAAAAAAAGAGTTCCAACCACTTAGTGGTGTTTAGATTTCTTTCCTTTCTTTCTTTTTTATTGAGACAGGGTTTCACCATGTTGGCCAGGCTGGTCTTGAACTCCCGACCTCAGGTGATCCGCCCACCTCAGCCTCCCAAAGTGCTGAGATTACAGGCCTGAGCCACGGCGCCCGGCCTAGATTTCTTACAAAGGCAGTCGGTACATGTGTTGTTACTAGATGTGTGTCTTCATGATGGACGCAGTGTTTGGGACTTCCTATACCTTTGTCTTGTTGACATCACCAATTCAGCAGTTTTCTAAGTTATTCACATAGGCCTGGAAATGTACTTTAATTAGGTGCCACGGTATATTTCCTATTGGAAAAAGCAAAATCCCAGAGGCAACACATTCCCAGAAAAGGCTTGAGAGGTCTCCAGAATCTCTAGTCAGGATGAATAGAGAGTGTCCTCCCTGAAGGAGGCCAGTAGTTAAAAAGGAGGAGGAATGGCTGATTAGTCAAATGCTGAGGTGCCAAGATAACAAGAGATTCCAAGAGAAAAGGAAACATGATCCACACAAAGCAACAAATGAAACCACCACAAACTGACACTAGGGAAATGAAGATGTGTGAATTATCAGGTGTGAACCACCATGCCCAGCTTAACAATCAATTTTCTATATACATGTACACAAAGTAACAGACTTACTCAGACTCCCAAGAAATCAGAAAATGAAACACCATAAAGTAGTCCTTTTACCCAGATAATCAAAATATAAAAAGAGAAGCAATTTTTGCTTAAATGAGTAGAAAAATCTTACATGGTGTTAGTGGGAGAGGGCGCCTTTGTAACTGTGGGTAGAGGTAAAAATGTAGCCAGATCTAGCAACATAGGAAATCCACCATCCTTGAAGAAGCAACGTTTTCAACTGCCTGACCTGAAGAAACCCTTAGACTTTTTGTTTGTTTGTTTGTTTTGTTTTGTTTTGTTTTTGACAGCATCTCACTCTGTTGCCAGGCTGGAGTGCAATGGTGCAATCTCGGCTTACTGCAACCTCCACCTCTGGGGTTCAAGTGATTCTTCTGCCTCAGCCTCCCAAGTAGCTGGGACTACAGGTGCCTGCCACTATGCCCAGCTAATTTTTTTATTTTAGTAGAGACGGGGTTTCACCATGTTGGCCAGGATGGTCTCAATCTGTTGACTTCATGATCCCACCTGCCTTGGCCTCCCAAGGTGCTGGGATTACAGGCATGAGCCACTGTGCCCGGCCACCCTTAGATTTCTTTAGTGAAGTTGGCATGCCCACAGGAAGCATCTGTGGCATTGTTAAATAGTGAAAAACTAAAGAGCAAGTTATCCTTTCTTTCTTTCTTTCTTTTTCTTTTTTTTTTTTTTTTGAGACGGAGTTTCGCTCTTGTTACCCAGGCTGGAGTGCAATGGCGCGATCTCGGCTCACCGCAACCTCCGCCTCCTGGCTCAAGCAATTCTCCTGCCTCAGCCTCCTGAGTAGCTGGGATTACAGGCATGCGCCACCATGCCCAGCTAATTTTTAGTATTTTTAGTAGAGACGGGGTTTCACCATGTTCACCAGGATGGTCTCGATCTCTTGACCTCGTGATCCACCCGCCTCGGCCTCCCAAAGTGCTGGGTTTACAGGCTTGAACCACCGCGCCCGGCCTAATTTTGTATTTTTAGTAAAGATGGGGTTTCTCCATGTTGGTCCACCTGGTCTCGAACTCCCGACCTCTGGAGATCCACCTGCCTTGGCCTCCCAAAGTGCTGGGATTACATGCCTGAGCCAACGCATCCAGCCCACGGGATGTTGTGAAAAAGAAATACAATATTTAATAACAAAAAGCGGAATGGAAATATGATCATTCTCTCTCATGTCCAGGAAGTTCAGCTATAATATCTGAGCAGAGTGACAATGATTTTAACCTAAAACACCTGCAGCACAAGAGTCCTCTCAGGACCACCATTGTCTCCGTGGGACACAAGTGCTGAGAACGGTTTTAAAAAATCTCTTGCATTTAGATACCTCTGTTAATTTCATATTTTAAAAATAAGTGATGGAGGCTGAGCATGCTGGCTCACACCTGTAATCCCAGCACTTTGGGAGGCCGAGGCGGGCAGATCACTTGAAGTCAGGAGTTTGAGACCAGCTTGGCCAACAAGATGAAACCCTATCTCTACTAAAAACACAAATAATTAGCTGGGTGTGGTGGGCAACAAGAGCAAAACTTTGTCTCAAAACAAACAAACAAAGACATAAAATGATGGAATAAAACATTCTCTATCACTGATGACTGTGCCTTAACTTTCCATTCCATTCCGTCATTACAAGTTTGGAGTCAAAGACATGCTGTCCCTAATTTAGCTTCGAATGTATTGCAGAATCAGGCACAAAATATTTCCCCTTCTTGGTTTTCTTTTCGGAATTTAGGAGGTGTTTGTGCACATTAATATGTGACTTCAATGGGCAGCTGCTCTACTTCTGGTCTACAGTGAGCTGATCGTGCATCCAGATGTGGCCCCTGAACAATTCCTGCTGCCCAGCAGCCCTGACACCACGGGGCCCACACCCCATCTCCATCCACATCTGGGGTGAGCCCTTCCCAGGACCATGCCCAGTGCAGCCTCTTCACAAGCTTATGTCATTGGGTCACGGGAGGTGGAATCTAAGGGAGATGAGAGGGACTGAGGGAAGGCATGGGTGAGTGCCAGCAAACCTGTCAGGCAGGACGCTTCGGACTCAGAGAAGATTCCCAACTCCAAGGCCCACCTGAAAAACAATCCACCGAGAAGATCATCTCACCTGAGGAAGAGCTATCCCTGGCTCTTTTACTTTCCTCTTCCTCTCCTGGGCTTCTTCCTCAGGTAACATGAGTATTTGGAAATCAATTGTAAATGTTAAAAATATGCTTTTTTTTTTTTTTTTTTTTAGAGACGGAGTTTCGCTCTTGTTACCCAGGCTGGAGTGCAATGGCGTGATCTCGGCTCACCGCAACCTCCGCCTCCTGGGTTCAGGCAATTCTCCTGCCTCAGCCTCCTGAGTAGCTGGGATTACAGGCACGTGCCACCATGCCCTGCTAATTTTTTGTATTTTTAGTAGAGACGGGGTTTCACCATGTTGACCAGGATGGTCTCGATCTCTTGACCTCGTGATCCACCCGCCTCGGCCTCCCAAAGTGCTGGGATTACAGGCTTGAGCCACGGCACCCGGCCACAAAAATATGCTATTTTATGTATTTAATCAACACATCCCCTTCTTGTGCCACAACTGCACTCACACAAGGCAGACTTTATCGTGTGGAAAGGTGGTCTTCTACTGCCCAATACACCGGGGGTGGGGGAGACATGGGGCCAAGAAATTCCTACAGGAGGCCAGGTGCGGTGGCTCACGTCTGTAATCCCAGCACTTAGGGAATCTGAGGTGGGCGGATCACAAGGTCAGGAGTTTGAAACCAGCCTGGCTAACATGGTGAAACCCTGTCTCTACTAAAAATACAAAAAATAGCCGGGTGTGGTAGTGGGCACCTCTAATCCCAGCTACTCGGGAGGCTGAGGTAGGAGAATCACTTGAACTTGGGAGACGGAGGTTGCAGTGAGCCGAGATTGCCATTGCACTCCAGCCTGGGCGACAGAGTAAGACTCCATTTAAAAAAGAAAAGAAGAGAAAAGAAATTTCTACAGGAAGACCAACATGTGAGTCTTTTGACCTTCCTCAGAACTTGCTCCCCTCCTGGAGAAGCCGCCACTCATGAGGTATAGTGGGGAGCTGGGCTGGACTGAGCTCCCCTTCAGGACACAGACCCAGCCCTGACCAAACTCCACCCAGAGCACAGCTCCTCCCCTCTCTGTGGATCACAGGTTCAGCTCAGCCCTCAGAAACGGAGGACACAGAGCCTTGACCCTCAGTGCTGCACACAGATTACTATCACCTGGGACACCATAGGTATTACTGAGGGTGGATCTCAAACTGACTGTGGAATCTTGGGTAAAGGAGCTTAAGAGATGTTTCCGCAAAATGTTCTGCAAAAAGCCAAAGTGCCTTCGAGTTTTAGCGGAAAGTTGAAATGGTTTATGTTAAAAGCTATTTTTGCCAGCCGATGGGACAGTGTTTGAAATGGTTTACGTTGAAATGGTTATTTCTGCCAGTAGGTAGGACGGAAGAGCTGCTAGTGAGACTGAAGCAACTCTGGATAGGGATCTGGCATCTCTGGGGTAGTGACTGAATCCGGGAAAGTTTCTGCAATCTGAATTAATTTAAGCAACTTAACTAAAAAGCCGTGAAAATGTCTGTGAGGGGTATGCAAACTCGAATGTGAAATGCAAAACTCTGCCTGGGTAGAATGTGTAATTTCATGTTGCCTCGAAACATAACTTAATAGAATCCCCTCCATATTCTACACCCCATTCACCCTTGAGGGAGAGGGTCACCCTGTGCACAGTTGCAGAGATTTTCTTACAGTAAATATCTGGGATGTGCAGCAAGGAGGGCTAATACCTGTGACATTAACTCTTGCTTTAGAAAAACCAGTTACTTTTATTTTAAATCTTATTCAAATTTAAAAGGTTATCAGCCATATTACATGCCATGATTAGCTTTCTATAAGCAATTTTGTTTACTGTGTGCAGATCAGTGTCAATGAAATAAAAAGTAAAACTGTATACTGGGCAAAGAACTTTATTAACCGTTGTTTCAAGCTTGAGTCCCAGGCTTCTTTGGCTTCATTAGCTGCAAAGAATGAATTGTTTATAAGCAAAAAACAGAAAAGAGCTGCAGTGTCTGAGGGGCTTCAGCTTAAAAATATTAGAGATTCAGATTTTATCAGATCCATAAAGAAAACTTTCTTAAAAAGCAGTCATAATATAAAATAGCAGCTCCCAGTAACTTCTTCGAGTTTTATCTTCAGAAGTTGACTCAATTGTTTGCCTCATTCTTGGAATCCTCATCAAAATTCTCCACAAGATCTGGAACTTCATCATCATCATCATTATCATCATCATCATCATCATCATCTCCAGTAGCAAGTGGTACTTTTCCATCCACAGATTTTGGGCAGACTGTCTGCCCCAAGCTGGTTTCAGAGGCTGGGTAGCATTTCTGTCAGCTGCTTTGTCTCAGCATGGCCTGTGATGGTGAAAGTGTTCACTGCCAGAGATGCCTGAACTTTAGGGTTGTGAAAGTGGATCACTGTTCCTTGGTTGGTAAACATATATTCACCTCTTCAATGCCAGAGATATTGTTTACCCCTAACTTCTTTAAGGAGAACTTAAGTTCTTTTTATCATCTGCTGCAGCTGTTCTATGAACCACCTTCTTCTTTCTGCCAGCAGTTCCTTTCCCACCAATGCGCACCTGTGCCTGCAGTTTGGAGAGTTTTCCTGGTTCATGATTGTTTCTTTCATCTTGTCGGAGCAGATAAGGGGCGGCTGGGGGCACTAGGGTTGGTGCTCAGGGCGTCTCGGGTGGACTAGCTGAGATTAGGTGCACGCACGCGGGGATGCAAGATGGCAAGAAAACCAATAACTTTTAAATAATAGTTAAGTAACAAGTTTGCAATTTAGGAAAACATCTTAGTTTCCAACATAGACGGCCCACGTAACTCTAAGGCTTTATCTTAAAATGGAAACATTAACTGAAAATAAGCAGAAAGGAAAACTGCTCCGCAGGACACGAAATAGACTTAAGGGTTCCCAAACCCAGAAAATAGGGACGCTCTGGGAACCAGGTGGCTGGAAACACAGGCTCGGACCGCCCTCCGGCCGTCCCTCGCGGCCCCGCCCCATGCCAGTCCAGGCCCCGCCCCATCCTCGCGTTTTTCACCCTCCCGTCCCCGCCCCCTGCTGGTTGTGCCCCGCCCAGGCCCCGCCCCCGGGCGGCCTCAGTCCTCCCCGACCCGTCGCGCCCCGCCCAGGCCCCGCCCCTAGGCGGCCTCAGCCCACCCCGGCCTGCCCCCTGCCGGTCGCTTCCTGATCAGACCCCGCCCCTGACCCCGCCCCCTGGACCGCCCAGTCGAGCTGCGCGCGGTTTTCTGCAAACCCGGAAGCGGATCGCGGGGAGTGAAGATTGCACAGCAGAGCGTGAGTTTTCCTCTTTCGATAAAATCTGCGCTTCGCAGGCCCCCTCCTTCCATCCCCCGGGTCTGGAGGGGGTCTCTACAGACCTTAAAACGCCCGCACCGCGCCCTCCACCCCAAGTACATTCTGACGTTGCTGCGAGAGTGCGGGGATCGCTTTCCCTTTGGGTTAAAGTCGCTCTTAGGCTGGTCCCTGACCCTCGTCTTTCGTCTCCCGCTAGGTAAACATGACCTTTCGAGTCTTTTCCTGCCTAAATTCCTTTACCGATTTTTCTTCCCGCCACGCGGGAGGGCACTTCTTAAAGTCCTCACCTGCAGGGTGGATTCGGTTCTATCCGATTCTCCAAGACTCGCCCTCGTCGGTCCCTGGAGCGCACGCAGCGCTGCAGCCTCAGTCCCTGTCCTTTCCTTGGTTCTGGGATTCTGCAGACCCCACCCCTGTCCTGAGGTGCCACCTCTGTCGTTCTCACCTCAAGTCTTTCTCAGGCAGGGCCTTCAAGCTCCCAAGCCCCTCTTGGCAGTCACCTCCCGTGGTGGGAGGTGACCTGGGCATGTCCTGTGACACCCATGGTGGAGGAGGTGACCTGGGCCTGTCCTGTGACACCCAGTATCTTTTTTTTTTTTTTTTTTTTTTTTTTTTTTTTTTTAATTTTTGACACCAAGTCTCGCTCTCTCAGGCTGGAATGCAGTGGTGCGACCTCAGTTCACTGTAACCTACGCCTCACAGGTTCCAACGAGTCTCCTGCCTCAGCCTCCCGAGTAGCTGGGATTACAGGCGACTGCCACCAAGCCCAGCTAATTTTTGTATTTTCAGTAGAGACGGAGGTTTCATCATGTTGGCCAGGCTGGTCTCGAACTCCTGACCTCAGATTATCCCCCTGCCTCAGGCTGCCAAAGGGCTGGGATTACAGGCATGAGCCGCAGGGCCAGCCAACATAGAACACTTCTGACAGCAAATGTGTGGGAGTTTTTTCCCATATACTAGGCAGTTCTCCAGTGGACACCAGCTGCGCGCTCTACAAGACACTGTGCACCTGGAGCTAGAGCCAGATCCAATGGGTTAAGGTCTTAGTCCCACAAGACCACTCCCTACCCTCGCCCTGCTGCCACTTCAGATGTCAATCAAAAGTAATACGTTGTCACCGGTCCTTAAAACTGACCTATATATTAAGGCTCCCATGACTCCCTCTTTGAGTTTGATTAATTTTTGAGGACAGCTCACAGAACTGCTGGAAGCACTTAGGTTTACCGATTTTTTTGGGCAGTCAATCCTCACAATGTTTTCCATAGGTTCTTGGAAACTGGATCATGAATGAAATTATATACAGCAGGTACTCGAATAATGTTTGGTTCAATGTGATTATCATCATTATTTTGAGACAGAGTCTTGCTCTGTTGCCAGGCTGGAATACAGTGGCACGATCTTGGCTCACTGCAACCCCACCTCCCGAGTTCAAGTGATTCACCTGCCTCAGCCTCCCGAGTAGATGTGATACAGGCACCCGCCACCACGCCCAGCTAATTTTTATATTTTTAGTAGAGACAGGGTTCCACCATGTTGGCCAGGATGGTCTCAATCTCCTGACTGTGATCCACCCACCTTGGCCACCCAAAATGCTGGAATTAGAGAGGCATAAGCCACTGTGCCTGGCTGTTCGGTGTCATTTTTTTTTTTTTTTATGTTGATGAGGAAAAAAATGTTGCCATTTCACTTAAAGTTCCAGTTTCTAAGAATCTCTTGATAACATCCAGTGAGGATTTGGTGTATTAATAAAGGATATCATGAAAAACACCCATGGGCAGCCAGATGAAGAGATACATACGGTGAGGTCTTAGAATGCTCTGAGCACAGGAGCTCTGTCCTTGTGGGTCTGGGTGCACCACCCCTCTGGCATTCAAATGTGTTTATCAACCAGAAAGCTCTTTGAACCAATAGATCAGGGATTTTTTAAATCGAGGCTTCATCCTGTAGGCATGAGAGAGTATTAACTCAATCTTCAGCCCTCTCCACTCTTTGGGAAATGGGGGATGGAGGTGAAATTTCGAAGCTTCGAATCATAGCGTAGTCTTTCTGGCCAATGGCTATATCCAGGAGCCCATCAAGACTTGCCTCATTAGAACAAACACATTCCTATCATGCAGGAAATTCTAAGGGATTGAGGAGCTTTGTGCTGGACCTGGGGTCAAAGACCAAATATGAGAACAAAAGATTCTCCTAACAGCCCTATCTATGAGGTATCCATGTCCTAGGAACCAGGGGCAGAGACCAAAAATATATTTTTGTTTTATTTATTTATTTATTTATTTTTTTTTTTGAGACAGTTTCCCTCTTGTTACCCAGGCTGGAGTGCAATGGCGCGATCTCGGCTCACCGCAACCTCCGCCTCCTGGGTTCAGGCAATTCTCCTGCCTCAGCCTCCTGAGTAGCTGGGATTACAGGCACATGCCACCATGCCCAGCTAATTTTCAGTATTTTTAGTAGAGACGGGGTTTCACCGTGCTGACCAGGATGGTCTCGATCTCTTGACCTCGTGATCCGCCCGCCTCGGCCTCCCAAAGTGCTGGGATTACAGGCTTGAGCCACCGCGCCCGGCCTAAATAACTTCTTTTTCACATTCCAGATTGACCTCTAAAGACTCATGTGGCCTGAAGAAGTCCAGAAGAGAAGAAAGGGGAAGGAAGGAGGAGACAGGGATGGCTCTTCCTCAGGTAAAGCGATATTCTTGGGACGTTGTTCTGTTTCTCTTTCCTTTCTGAAATGTTTCTTTGAAGCTGCAAATCTCTGAGCCTAAAGCGTCCTGCCTGACAGGTTTGCTGGCACTCACCCATGCCTTCCCTCAGTCCCTCTCATCTCACTTAGATGCTATTGGCTGTGACCCAGTGACATGAAGAGGCTGCACTGGGCATGGTCTTGGGAAGGGCTCACCCCAGACATGGACAGACACAGGTGTGGGCCCTGGGGTGACAGGGCTTTCACACAACAGGGATTGTTTAGCGGCCACATCTGCATATACCGTGAGGTCTCTGTGGACCAGGATTAGAGAAGCCGGATGTGGAAGTCACCTACTCATGTGCGTAAGTACTTGGGAAACCCTAGAAAAGGAGACTGATTTGGTGAATTGTTTGTCTGATTTGATAATACATTCGCAGATAAACACATGAACCAGTATGTTTCTGGCTCCAGAATTGTTATGGTTTGGAATGGAATCTAAAGTTCAGAAACACCTTAGGGAGGGTGTTTTATTCTACCTCCGATTGTGTGTGTGTGTGTGTGTGTGTGTGTGTGTGTGTGTGTGTGAGAGAGACAGAGTTTTGCTCGTTACCCAGGCTGGAGTGCAATGGCGCGATCTCAGCTCACCGCAACCTCTGCCTCCCGGGTTCAAGCAATTCTTCTGCCTCAGCCTCCTAAGTAGCTGGGATTACAGGCATGCACCACCATGCCTGGCTAATTTTGTATTTTTAGTAGAGATGGGGTTTCTCCGTGTTGGTCAGGCTGGTCTTGAACCCCTGACCTCAGGTGATCCGCCCACCTTGGCCTCCCGAAGTGCTGGGATTACAGGCGTGAGCCATGCACCCAGCCAGTTGTATATTTTTGAACTGTTCAGATATTTATATCTGAAATATTTTCCATAGCCTTAAATTTTTTCCTACATCATCACATTAATGAGTTGACGAATAGTAAGAATACTAATTTATTATGTGCAGGCATGTGTATGTATGTGTAATGACCTTTTATGCAGTTTCATGTTGTTAGATGTAAACTAGTTTTTTTCCAGGGAATTCTTTGCCAAAGCACTTTTGATGCTGTATGTGTTACTTAACTGTCTGATTCTTTAGCCCCAAATGCCTAGTTTCAAGGGCTTGTTCTGCTGCATTTTAGCTGTTTTACCTGAGTTGAGTTTCTGAGGGTTTCTGTGACACAGTTTTCTCCTAGCAAAATGGAAATAAAAATTATTTCTCTCTTGGGTTATTGTGTCTTACACAAGTTAGCACATGTAAAGCATCAGAATAATGCCCACCACATAAAAGTGTTCAAAAGCTTTAGTCATTATTGCTGTCATCATCAGTTTTCTTTCTTGCTTTTTTTTTTTTTTTTTCAGTAAAGACGGGGTTTCACCATGTTGGTCAGGCAGGTCTTGAACTCCCGACCTCAGGTGATCCACCCGCCTTGGCCTCCAAAGTGCTTGGATTACAGGCGTGAGCCATTACGCCTGGCCACAGTTTTCTTTTAAATTTTTTTTTTTTTTTGAGATGGCGTCTGGCTCTGTCACCCAGGATGCAGTGCAGTGTTGCAACTGTGGCTCACTGCAACCTCTGCCTCCTGGGTTCAGACGTTTCTCCTGCCTCAGCCTCCCGAGTAGCTGGGACTACAGGCACGTGCCACTACGCCTGGCTAATTTTTCATATTTTTAGTAGAGATGGGGTTTCATCTTGTTAGCCAGGATGGTCTAGATCTCCTGACCTCGTGATCTGCCTGCTTCATCCTCTCAAAGTGGTGGGATAACAGGCATGAGCTACTGTGCCAGGCCTTTTTTTTTTTTTTTTTTTTTGTATGAGATAGAGTCTCTGTCGCCAGGCTGGAGTGCAGTGGCACAGTCTTGGCGCACTGCCCTGCGCCTCCTGAGTTCAGGGGAATTCTCCTGCCTCAGCCTCCTGAGTAGCTGGGATTACAAGCATGCGCCACTATGCCCAGCTGATTTTTGTATTTTTAGTAGAGACGAGGTTTCACCGTGTTGACCAGGATGGTCTCAATCTCTTGACCTCGTGATCCACCCACCTCGGCCTCGCAAAGTGCTGGGATTACAGGTGAGCGCCACCGCACCTGGCCTATTTTTCTCTTTTTACTAGGGGCAGACTTTCACCATGCTGGCCAGGATGCTCTCAATCCCTTGACCTTGTGATCCGCCTGCCTTGGCCTCCCAAGTGCTGGGATTATAGGCATGAGCCACGGCGCCCGGCCACATTTTTTAGATTGTGACCTTTCTTTCTTTAAAGCTACCATGGAGGTTGCCATCTCGGAAAACACCACCCTTCCTCTGTCTCATCTAGATATTGAGTATCGCCTCGTGTCAGAAGTATTATCAAACACTTCTACAGAGATAGCCCGTGTTGATTTTTATTTGTAACTTTCTTCCATTGTCTACAGAAAGGGAAATCCACACTTATTTAGAAGGTATTGTCAGCTCTTACAGAGTAATATAATAAAATGCAATTAGGGAGACATACCTAGTTTTCTTCCTAATATCCCTAAATCCCCCAAAATACCTTAACATGGATCTGCCAGAACCCTCCCTTCAGTCAAATCAATACAGTTCTCTCCTTTTCTCATTTTATGTAAAGTTGATACCGCTCCCCATATGCAGCTGGTAAAATGTGTTTTTCAGACACAATTCGCCTGAAAAAACCGTTCCCTGGATCTCCAAGAATGTCCATTTAAATTAAATGGACTTATACCTCTCTTTCTGTCATTTGTGTGAAGATAATGGCTCTCCCCATGACTTCTTGGTGAAATGTGTTTTCTCGTATCAGGAAAGGTTGACATTCAGGGATGTGGCTGTAGAATTCTCTCCGGAGGAGTGGAAGTGCCTGGACTCTGCTCAGAGGACTTTGTACAGGAATGTGATGCTGGAGAACTACAGGAACCTGGTCTCCCTGGGTGAGGACAACTTCCCTCCAGAAGTGGGAATCTGCTCTGCTGTATGTCTACATTTTCCCTCGTGTGCCTCTTGGGAGCCCCTGCATTGCTCCATTAAGACTGAAGCTGTGTTAATTCTCAGATGAAAAGCTTGATAGTATAGCATCTGGACTTGTCTACTTTGGGCTGGGCGTGGTGGCTCACGCCTGTAATCCCAGCACTTTGGGAGGCCGAGGCAGGCAGATCAACTGAGGTCAGGAGTTTGAGAGCAGCCTGGCCAACTTGGTGAAACCCTGTCTTTACTAAAAATACAAAAAAGTTAGCTGGGTGAGATGGCAGGTGCCTGTAATCCCAGCTACTCGGGAGGCTGAGGCAGGAGAATTGCTTGAACCTGGGAGGTACAGGTATCAGTGAGCCAAGATCGTGCCATTGCACTCCAGTCTGGGCAACAAGAGTAAAACTTCATCTCAAAAAAAAAAAAAAATCTACTTTGGGCTGAGCATGGTGGCTCACGCTTATAATCCTTGCACTTTGGGAGGCCAAGGCGGGCAGATCACCTGAGGTCAGGAGTTTGAGACCAGCCTGGCTAACATGGAGAAACCCCATCACTACTGAAAATGCAAACATTAGCTGGGCGTGGTGGCGCATGCCTGTAATCCCAGCTACTCAGGAGGCTGAGGCTGGAGAATCGCTTGAACCCGGGAGGTGACGGTAGCTGTGAGCCATGATCGTGTCATTGTACTCCAGCCTGGGCAGCATGGTGAAACCCTGTCTCTACTAAAAATACAAAAAATTAGCCAGGCATGGTGCCAGGTACCTGCAGTCTCAGCTACTTGGGAGGCTGAGGCAGGAGAATCGCTGAACCCAGGAGGTGGAGGTTGTGGTGAGCCAAGATCACGCCACTGTACTCCAGCCTGGGCAACAGAAGCGAGGTTACGTCTCAAAAAAAAAAAAAAAAAAGGAAAGAAAGAAAAAGATCCACTCTACCTTTTTGCTTGTGATTCAGTACTTCTTAGAGGAGAGCTCGACATCCGTATCTTACCATGTTTTCTAAACATTCAAAAGGAGGCATTCAGTGGGTGAATTTGTGAGGTATTTTTCTAGATCCATTTCTAATGTCCTCTCTCCTCTAAACAAAGGGCTGGGATTCTGTAAAAGCCACAGCACATCATATCCCTTTCTCTTTATAAGCAGGAATCTCTCTCTCTGAAATGAATATTGTCTCCACGTTGGAGCAAGGGAAAGAGCCCCGGACTGTGGAGAGTGAAGTGAAAATAACAAAAACATCAAATGGTTGGAAATGCATCAAAGGTGTGAACACAGGTAAGAGCTCAGATGGGCTGAGAGGAAGCTGCACTGTTAGTTTTCAGGTAACTCTTTCCAAGTTGAAGCATTCTATGGGACAAAAAGGGTTTCAATCCTGTGAGCACTCAGTGGAAATCTTCCTTTGCCCTCATTTATCCCTCTGCTGTTCTGCTGTGTCATCATTTAAACTTTCACTACCCCATGGTGCTGCAGCTCAGTGACAAAGGCAAAGTCTTTATCCTGATGGACCACACTTTGTCACGTGGCTTCTGGGACCTCTGTGGTTTCTTCACTCTGAGGGGAACAGGGAGAGCTGTGTTTAAAGGGGTCTCTTTCCCCCGTGATCTCTCCTATACGATTCCATCTGATGCTCGGTTCTCTGTCTATACAGATCAGAGCTGAGGCCTGATCTGTATAGACCTGCCCCCTTGACCTGAATAGGTTCGGCCCCATTTCCTGTACTTGGGAGACCTAATCAAATGATGGGAAAAGATTAGGGGCTCCTCCTTTGCATCTGGGGCTCCAGAAACCTCATGGTGCTTTCCAGCCCTCTCTGCCTGTTGAAGTCCTTCAGCCTCAGTCATTTCTTCTGTTCTGCTTTGGCCACAGATGGCAGTGTGTGGAACACATTGGGTCTTCTGAGATTGTTACTCAGTACTGGAATGGCACTAGACAGAGAGTTCTTTTTTTTTGAGACAAAGTCTGGCTCTCTTGCCCAGGCTGTGGTGCAGTGGCCTGATCTCAACTCACTGCAACTTCTGCCTCCCAGGTTCAAGCAGTTCTCTTGCCTCAGCTTCCTGAGTAGCTGGAACTACAGGCATGCAGGCGTGTGTCACCACACCTGGCTTATTTTTTTAAATTATACTTTAAGTCCTGGGGCACATGTGCAGAACGTGCAGGTTTGTTACATAGGTATACACGTGCCATGGTGGTTTGCTGCACCTACCAACCTGTCATCTACATTAGGTATTTCGCCTAATGCTATCCCTCGTCCATCCCCCGCGCCACCGACAGGCCCCAGTGTATGATGTTTCCCTCTCTGTGTCCATGTGTTGTCATTGTTGAACTCCCACTTATGAGTGAAAAAATGTGGCGTTTGGTTTTCTGTTCTTGTGTTAGTTTGCTGAGAACAATGGTTTCTAGCCTCATCCATGTTCCTGCAAAGGACATGAGCTCATCCTTTTTTTTTTTTTTTTTTTTTGAGCTGGAGTCTCACTCTGTTGCCCAGGCTGGAGTGCAGTGGCACAATCTTGACTCAATGCAACCTCCGACCCCCGTGTTCAAGCAATTCTCCTGCCTCAGCCTCCTGAGTAGCTAAGACTATAGGTGCCCACCACCATGCCTGGCTAATTTTTGTATTTGTAGTAGAGACAGGGTTTTACCACATTGGTGAGACTGATCTCGAACTCCTGATCTTGTGATCTGCCCACCTTGGCCTCCCTAAGTGCTGGGATTGTAGGCATGAGCCACCATGCCTGGCCAAACTCATCCTTTTTTATGGGTGCATACTATTCCATGGTGTATATGTGCCTCATTTTCTTTATCCAGTCTATCATTGATGGGCATTTGGGTTGGTTCCAAGTCTTTGCTGTTGTGAACAGCCACAGTAAACATATTATGTGTGCATGTGTCTTTTTAGTGGAATGATTTATAATCTTGTGGATATATACCCAAAAATGGGATTGCTGAGTCAAATGGTATTTTTAGTTCTAGATATTTGAGGAATCGCCACACTGCCTTCCACAATGGTTGAACTAATGTACGCTCCCACTAACGGTGTAAAAGCATTCCTATTTCTCCGCATCCCCTCCAGCATCTGTTGTGTCCTGACTTTTTAATGATCACCATTCTAAGCGGCGTGAGATAGTATCTCATTGTGGTTCTAATTTGTATTTCTCTAATGACCAGTGATGATGAGCTTTTTTTCATGTTTCTTGGCTGCATAAATGTCTTCTTTTGAGAAGTGTCTGTTCATATCCTTTGCCCACTTTTTAATGGTTTTTTTTTTATTTTTTTGAGACAGAGTTTCGCTCTTGTTACCCAGGCTGGAGTGCAATGGCGTGATCTCGGCTCACTGCAACCTCCGCCTCCTGGGTTCAGGCAATTCTCCTGCCTCAGCCTCCAGAGTAGCTGGGATTATAGGCATGCGCCACCATGCCCAGCTAATTTTTTGTATTTTTAGTAGAGATGAGGTTTCACCATGTTGACCAGGATGGTCTCGATCTCTTGACCTCATGATCCACCCGCCTCGGCCTCCCACCAAAGTGCTGGGATTACAGGCTTGAGCCACCGAGCCTGGCAAGGTTTTTTTTTTTCCCTTGTAAATTTGTTTAAGTTCTTTGTAGATTCTCGATATTAACCCTTTGTGAGATAGATAGATTGCAAAAATTTTCTACCATTCTGTAGGTTGCCTGTTCACTCTGATGATAGTTTCTTTTGCTGTGCAGAAGCTCTTTAGTTTAATTAGATCCCATTTGTCTATTTTGGCTTTTGTTGCCATTGCTTTTGGTGTTTTAGCCATGAATTCTTTGCCTATGCCTGTGTCCTGAATAGTACTGCCTAGGTTTTCCTCTAGGGGTTTTATGGTTCCAGGTCTTACATTTAAGCCTTTAATCCATTATGAATTAATTTTTGTATAAGGTGTAAGGAAGGGATCCAGTTTGTTTTCTGCATGTAGCTAGCCAGTTTTCCAAACACCATTTATTAAATAGGGAATCCTTTCCCTATTGCTTGTTTTTGTCAGGTGTGTCAAAGATCAGATGGCTGTAGATGTGTGGTGTTATTTCTGAGGGCTCTGTTCTGTTCCATTGGTCTATATGTCTGTTTTGGTACCAGTACCATGCTGTTTTTGTTACTGTAGGCTTGTAGTATAGTTTGAAGTCAGGTAGTATGATGCCTCCAGCTTTGTTCTTTTTGCTTAGGATTGTCTTGGCCATACAGGCTCTTTTTTGGTTCCATATCAAATTTAAAGTTTTTTTTTTTTTTTTCCAATTCTGTGAAGACAGTTAATGGTAGCTTGATAGGGATAGCAATGAATCTTTAAATTACTTTGGGCAGTATGGCCATTTTCATATTGATTCTTTCTATCCATGAGCATGGAATGTTTTTGCATTTGTTTGTGTCCTCTCTGATTTTCTTGAGCAGTGGTTTGTAGTTCTCCTTGAAGAGGTCCTTCACATCCCTGGTAAGCTGTATTCCTACAATTTTTATTCTCTTTGTAGCAATTGTGATTTGGCTGTCTTGTCCGTTATTGGTGTATAGGAATGCTCGTGATCTTTGCACATTGATTTTGTAGCCTGAGACTTTGCTGAAGTTGCTTATCAGCTTGAGATTTTGGTCTGAGATGATGGGGTTTTCTAAACACACAATCATGTCATCTGCAAACAGAGACAATTTGACTTCCTCTCTTCCTAATTGAATCCCCTTTATTTCTTTCTGTTGCCTGATTGCCCTGGCCAGAACTTCCAATACTATGTTGAACAGGAGTGGTGAGAGAGGGCATCCTTGTCTTGTGCCAGTTTTCAAAGGGAATGCTTCCAGTTTTTGCCCATTCAGTATGATACTGGCTGTGGGTCTGTCATAAATAGCTCTTATTTTGAGATACATTCCATCGATACCAAGTTTATTCAGAGTTTTTAGCATGAAGGCTATTGAATTTTGTCGAAGGCCTTTTCTGCATCTATTGAGATAATCATCTGGTTTTTGTCATCGGTTCTGTTTATGTGATGGATTATGTTTATTGATTTGTGTATACCGAACCAGCCTCGCATCTCAGGGATGAAGCCAACTTGATCATGGTGGATAAGCTTTTTGATGTGCTGCTGAATTCAATTTGCCAGTATTTTATTTTTTCACATTGATGTTCATCAGGGATATTCGCCCAAAATTTTCTTTTTTGTTGTGTCTCTGCCAGGTTTTTCTATCAGGATGATGCTGACGTCATAAAATGAGTTAGAGCAGCTCCTCTTTCTACCTCTGGTAGAATTTGTCTGTGAATCCATCTGGTGCTGGACTTTTTTTGGTTGGTAGGCTATTAATTACTGCCTCAATGTCAGAACTTGGGAGGCCGAGGCAGGCCCGCAGCTGTCCCTTCCCTCAGGTGATCTGTCCCAGGGAGATGGGGGTTTTATCTATAAGGCCCTGACTGTGGCTGCTGCCTTTTTTTCAGAGATGCCCTGCCCAGGGAAAAGGAATCTAGAGAGGTAGTCTGGCTGCAGTGGCCTTGCTGAGCTGTAGCAAGCTCTGCCCAGTTCAAACTTCCCGGCGGCTTTGTTTATCTGTGAGGGTAAAACCGCTTACTCAAGCCTCAGCAGTTGCAGACACCCTTCCCCCCACAAAGCTCAAGCATCCCAGGTCAACCTCAGACTGCTGTGCTTGCAGTGAGAATTTCAAGCCAGTGGGTTTTAGCTTATTGGTCTCCATGGGGGTGAGACCCGCTGAGCCAGAGCACTGGGCTCTCTGGCTTCAACCTCCTTTCCAGAACCGACAGAATGGTTCTCTCACTGGCATTCCAAGTGCCACTGGTGTATGAAAAATAAAGTCCTGCTGCTAGTTTGGTGTCTGCCCAAGCAGCCACCCAGTTTTGTGCTTGAAACCCAGGGCCCTGGTGGCATAGGCATCGGAGGGAATCTCCTGGTCTGCTGGTTATGAAGACCACGGGAAAAGCGCAGTATCTGAGCTGGAGTGCACCCTTCCTCACGGCACAGTCCCTTATGGCTTCCCTTGGCTAGGGGAGGGAAATCCTCCGACCCCTTGTCCTACCCAGGTGAGGTGACATCCTACCCTGCTTTGGCTCAACACTACGTGGGCTGCACCCACTGTCCAACCAGTCCCAATGAGATGAACTGGGTACTTCAGTTGGAAATGCAGAAATCACCCACCTTCTGCATTGATCTTGCTGGGAGCTGCAGACTGGAGGTGTTCCTATTCCGCCATCTTGCCAGCAAATCCCCAATTTTTGTATGTTTAATGGAGATGGGGTTCCACTGTGTTGGCCAGGCTGGTCTAGAACTCCTGAC